CGATACCTCCGACCGTTTCGGAGATATTGCAAAACAGGCACTTCCACCAACAATTTTAAAATTTTGTTTGTTGTGTCTGATAGGTGAGATCGTCACCAATAATATAAAACAATTTTCACAACGATACCTCCGACCGTTTCGGAGATATTGCAAAACAGGCACTTCCACCAAGAATTTTAAAATTTTGTTTGTTGTGTCTGATAGGTGAGATCGTCACCAATAATATAAAACAATTTTCACAACGATACCTCCGACCGTTTCGGAGATATTGCAAAACAGGCACTTCCACCAAGAATTTTAAAATTTTGTTTGTTGTGTCTGATAGGTGAGATCGTCACCAATAATATAAAACAATTTTCAGAACGATACCTCCGACCGTTTCGGAGATATTGCAAAACAGGCACTTCCACCAACAATTTTAAAATTTTGTTTGTTGTGTCTGATAGGTGAGATCGTCACCAATAATATAAAACAATTTTCAGAACGATACCTCCGACCGTTTCGGAGATATTGCAAAACAGGCACTTCCACCAACAATTTTAAAATTTTGTTTGTTGTGTCTGATAGGTGAGATCGTCACCAATAATATAAAACAATTTTCAGAACGATACCTCCGACCGTTTCGGAGATATTGCAAAACAGGCACTTCCACCAAGAATTTTAAAATTTTGTTTGTTGTGTCTGATAGGTGAGATCGTCACCAATAATATAAAACAATTTTCAGAACGATACCTCCGACCGTTTCGGAGATATTGCAAAACAGGCACTTCCACCAAGAATTTTAAAATTTTGTTTGTTGTGTCTGATAGGTGAGATCGTCACCAATAATATAAAACAATTTTCAGAACGATACCTCCGACCGTTTCGGAGATATTGCAAAACAGGCACTTCCACCAACAATTTTAAAATTTTGTTTGTTGTGTCTGATAGGTGAGATCGTCACCAATAATATAAAACAATTTTCAGAACGATACCTCCGACCGTTTCGGAGATATTGCAAAACAGGCACTTCCACCAAGAATTTTAAAATTTTGTTTGTTGTGTCTGATAGGTGAGATCGTCACCAATAATATAAAACAATTTTCAGAACGATACCTCCGACCGTTTCGGAGATATTGCAAAACAGGCACTTCCACCAACAATTTTAAAATTTTGTTTGTTGTGTCTGATAGGTGAGATCGTCACCAATAATATAAAACAATTTTCAGAACGATACCTCCGACCGTTTCGGAGATATTGCAAAACAGGCACTTCCACCAAAAATTTTAAAATTTTGTTTGTTGTGTCTGATAGGTGAGATCGTCACCAATAATATAAAACAATTTTCAGAACGATACCTCCGACCGTTTCGGAGATATTGCAAAACAGGCACTTCCACCAACAATTTTAAAATTTTGTTTGTTGTGTCTGATAGGTGAGATCGTCACCAATAATATAAAACAATTTTCAGAACGATACCTCCGACCGTTTCGGAGATATTGCAAAACAGGCACTTCCACCAACAATTTTAAAATTTTGTTTGTTGTGTCTGATAGGTGAGATCGTCACCAATAATATAAAACAATTTTCAGAACGATACCTCCGACCGTTTCGGAGATATTGCAAAACAGGCACTTCCACCAACAATTTTAAAATTTTGTTTGTTGTGTCTGATAGGTGAGATCGTCACCAATAATATAAAACAATTTTCAGAACGATACCTCCGACCGTTTCGGAGATATTGCAAAACAGGCACTTCCACCAAGAATTTTAAAATTTTGTTTGTTGTGTCTGATAGGTGAGATCGTCACCAATAATATAAAACAATTTTCAGAACGATACCTCCGACCGTTTCGGAGATATTGCAAAACAGGCACTTCCACCAAGAATTTTAAAATTTTGTTTGTTGTGTCTGATAGGTGAGATCGTCACCAATAATATAAAACAATTTTCAGAACGATACCTCCAACCGTTTCGGAGATATTGCAAAACAGGCACTTCCACCAAGAATTTTAAAATTTTGTTTGTTGTGTCTGATAGGTGAGATCGTCACCAATAATATAAAACAATTTTCAGAACGATACCACCGACCGTTTCGGAGATATTGCAAAACAGGCACTTCCACCAACAATTTTAAAATTTTGTTTGTTGTGTCTGATAGGTGAGATCGTCACCAATAATATAAAACAATTTTCAGAACGATACCTCCGACCGTTTCGGAGATATTGCAAAACAGACACTTCCACCAAGAATTTTAAAATTTTGTTTGTTGTGTCTGATAGGTGAGATCGTCACCAATAATATAAAACAATTTTCAGAACGATACCTCCGACCGTTTCGGAGATATTGCAAAACAGGCACTTCCACCAAGAATTTTAAAATTTTGTTTGTTGTGTCTGATAGGTGAGATCGTCACCAATAATATAAAACAATTTTCAGAACGATACCTCCGACCGTTTCGGAGATATTGCAAAACAGGCACTTCCACCAAGAATTTTAAAATTTTGTTTGTTGTGTCTGATAGGTGAGATCGTCACCAATAATATAAAACAATTTTCAGAACGATACCTCCGACCGTTTCGGAGATATTGCAAAACAGGCACTTCCACCAACAATTTTAAAATTTTGTTTGTTGTGTCTGATAGGTGAGATCGTCACCAATAATATAAAACAATTTTCAGAACGATACCTCCGACCGTTTCGGAGATATTGCAAAACAGGCACTTCCACCAACAATTTTAAAATTTTGTTTGTTGTGTCTGATAGGTGAGATCGTCACCAATAATATAAAACAATTTTCAGAACGATACCTCCGACCGTTTCGGAGATATTGCAAAACAGGCACTTCCACCAAGAATTTTAAAATTTTGTTTGTTGTGTCTGATAGGTGAGATCGTCACCAATAATATAAAACAATTTTCAGAACGATACCTCCGACCGTTTCGGAGATATTGCAAAACAGGCACTTCCACCAAGAATTTTAAAATTTTGTTTGTTGTGTCTGATAGGTGAGATCGTCACCAATAATATAAAACAATTTTCAGAACGATACCTCCGACCGTTTCGGAGATATTGCAAAACAGGCACTTCCACCAAGAATTTTAAAATTTTGTTTGTTGTGTCTGATAGGTGAGATCGTCACCAATAATATAAAACAATTTTCAGAACGATACCTCCGACCGTTTCGGAGATATTGCAAAACAGGCACTTCCACCAAGAATTTTAAAATTTTGTTTGTTGTGTCTGATAGGTGAGATCGTCACCAATAATATAAAACAATTTTCAGAACGATACCTCCGACCGTTTCGGAGATATTGCAAAACAGGCACTTCCACCAAGAATTTTAAAATTTTGTTTGTTGTGTCTGATAGGTGAGATCGTCACCAATAATATAAAACAATTTTCAGAACGATACCTCCGACCGTTTCGGAGATATTGCAAAACAGGCACTTCCACCAACAATTTTAAAATTTTGTTTGTTGTGTCTGATAGGTGAGATCGTCACCAATAATATAAAACAATTTTCAGAACGATACCTCCGACCGTTTCGGAGATATTGCAAAACAGGCACTTCCACCAAGAATTTTAAAATTTTGTTTGTTGTGTCTGATAGGTGAGATCGTCACCAATAATATAAAACAATTTTCAGAACGATATCACCAACCATTCCGGAGATATTGCAAAACAGGCACTTCCACCAAGAATTTTAAAATTTTGTTTGTTGTGTCTGATAGGTGAGATCGTCACCAATAATATAAAACAATTTTCAGAACGATACCACCAACCATTTCGGAGATATTGCAAAACAGGCACTTCCACCAAGAATTTTAAAATTTTGTTTGTTGTGTCTGATAGGTGAGATCGTCACCAATAATATAAAACAATTTTCAGAACGATACCTCCGACCGTTTCGGAGATATTGCAAAACAGGCACTTCCACCAACAATTTTAAAATTTTGTTTGTTGTGTCTGATAGGTGAGATCGTCACCAATAATATAAAACAATTTTCAGAACGATACCTCCGACCGTTTCGGAGATATTGCAAAACAGGCACTTCCACCAACAATTTTAAAATTTTGTTTGTTGTGTCTGATAGGTGAGATCGTCACCAATAATATAAAACAATTTTCAGAACGATACCTCCGACCGTTTCGGAGATATTGCAAAACAGGCACTTCCACCAAGAATTTTAAAATTTTGTTTGTTGTGTCTGATAGGTGAGATCGTCACCAATAATATAAAACAATTTTCAGAACGATACCTCCGACCGTTTCGGAGATATTGCAAAACAGGCACTTCCACCAACAATTTTAAAATTTTGTTTGTTGTGTCTGATAGGTGAGATCGTCACCAATAATATAAAACAATTTTCAGAACGATACCACCAACCATTCCGGAGATATTGCAAAACAGGCACTTCCACCAACAATTTTAAAATTTTGTTTGTTGTGTCTGATAGGTGAGATCGTCACCAATAATATAAAACAATTTTCAGAACGATACCACCAACCATTCCGGAGATATTGCAAAACAGGCACCAGATACATATGTGCCACGTGAACATTCTCAAGGTCTTTTTTTTGAGCGTCGTTCAAAAGTCGTCTCATCGTTTACGATTTAGTAAATTCTGAACTGTACAAAAGTTCTATAATCTAAACTGCCGTATTCCGTTTACTAAGTGTGATGTACAGTGTACCTGTTTCTTTAAAAGTTACGGTACCCTATTAACTAGTTGTCTACAGAAATCAATTATGTCAAAGGGTCTCAAAACTTAACCTATGTTGGTGAACTTCACACCGTTCTGTGATGTCAGACGGTGTGAAATTCAGTACTGTGTTAAGAAATGTTTACTTCAATGTTAACTTTGAATCGCTTTTCACCTTAATCTTCTGAATAACGTTATTTCATATTCACTTGCGGTATTTTTGTTTCCATTTTTTTCGTAAGGTTATACTTTTCTTCTTTAGGTATTTGTGCTCTGTCACCGTGGCTCATAATCTTCAAATCAAACGTTGCATTCATGCCGTCGATTGTGAATTTTCATATAACTAGCTCATTCGTTATTATAGCGTCAACGTTAAGTTCTATAACGCCCGGTAAGAATTTATTTTGACGTATCACAAGTACTGTCATTTTCAAGCCCATATTATCCACCTTATAAATCTAAATTATTGACCGCGGTTATTTAATGGGCTGGCATTCGTCCTTTTAAAATTCCGTTTTATATATCAATTATTACAATCCCGAATACCAATTATCATTTTGTAAATAGAAGAGGGGAGATAATTGTATTTTCTCAAGTTATACGTATCAACAAAATGTCAGGTCTTGCTCTTGACGGGATATTTGTACGATTCCGCAAATTCACACATAATTGTTTCCAGTTATGTTAATCAGACAAAATATTTTATGTGAAAATAACTCTATATCTCAAACAACAAACATATTCAAGATATACAAACATACTCGTAGTGTTGTTATTTATTTGAACACAAATATTGGTATAAAGGAGCACCAGATACATATGTGCCACACAAGCCACTTGGTTTGTTTGTGAGTTTTGATAGTATCCGAGTGCCCAGACCGAAGCAGGTGGTTTTCTCAGGGCGTCACAAACAGAGCCTTCGACCTAAAGGTCTAATCCACGATTCAGTGGAGCAACGTTAGCAGATTCATTCTCATGGTAGCCGGTGACCAATAATCGTTTCAAAAACCATTTTTTCCTTCAGGATACTGGAGCCCACATACATCATTGATTTGGAATCAGGGTTTTTCAAACCCCCTAGATGGACTTTCCGAGTCTACCAACCCGATTAAAGCGCCGGACGTTCGCTTTTCTCAATTTCGTAAACAGTACCTCCGCCACGAAAAGGCAGTAAGTAAGACTTCCTGGCAGAGACTATACATGCGTGGCTATGTAAGAGCATTTTGAGGAGAGCTGATTCTCCCAACCCTCTGCCATACTAGGGCATCGTCGTAGCTCCTTAAACTGTCGTAAGACCTTTATAATGCTTATTAAAAATTGTGCGGTATAGATGACTAAGTTTTATGGATTTCTATTAGTTATGTTGAAACCAGGAAGCATGACTCCTTATTAACCAAAAATTGGTTGGACAAAGTACATTTTTGCAAATATGAGTCGTTTCTAATATCAAAATCATAAGCCGCTTTCAACCTGAAATAGTTACAACGTTTTAAGTGCAATAAAAATCTGAACAAATTCATGTCTTCTGATGGAATTTCAGTTTGTTTCTCACACCATTCCCGTTATAGGCATCTGTTATCGGGTTTATAACCTAATAATTTTTAAACACACCACATAAAGCTGTTACGTCCACATTAAAAAAGCTAAATATATGTAGTATAAAGTATAAAGTAGTCTGCATCTATCAGACTACTTGGTTGGGGTCCGCGTGACTTTCTTAACCGATGGTTGGAGACTCTTGGTGACATGGCTCAGAATCGGTCACAATGGCGTCGGTGCATACACTCCCTGTCTTCCCTTAAACTAAGAGATTAAAATCGCTTCATATCTTTCTTTCTACGAACTAATTCTATATTCCGGTACTGTATCCTTATATGCAATCTTTCTCCTATATATTACCACCTTTAACCTAACCACTCCTATGAATCCGGTGTTCATCTTGCTGTGTTAATGAGGTATGGCAACCTGGACCGATGCATATATGTGCCTGGTCCTATGTTGTAGCTGACTGACTGACTGTTTTAAAAATGTTACATTCGTTATCTTCATATTTGATGACCGAATGCAAATGAATTAAGTAAGAACCGGAATACAAATGCTCCTGAATGTACATTTAAGTAGTTGAATTGACTTACATGTACATTATCAATAAACAATCAAAGTATGGTGGGAATGAGTAGATACAACTGGACTGAAATAATAGTAGTACGAGAATAACATTAGAATAAGATATCTCTATGTTTTAATTGAATTTAATCTAACACTGGCACTTAGTATCAGCAGTAGTTGTATTGTAATGATATAGACCCAGGACTGCATTAGACTGATTTAATCTACAATGTTGAAAGAAATTAAAATAGTCAACTAGTCAGCGCATCTTAAATATTTATACATCAATAGACTAATGGAAAATGAATAACGGATAATTTGATAAACAGGCAACTAAACAATATTGGAAAAATTCATGTATAAGGCATTTGAATTTAACTAAAACAAGAACAATTAATGCAGCAGAATGACATGATTTCATTATATTTTGCGGTTTCTTGTCAACTACTTACAGCCTAAACATAATAGTATTAAGCTCTAAAAATCGGTTTACGTACTTTGGAACATCGGAAAAGTTCTCATCAATCAAGATTAATGAAACGATCAATAAGTATGAAAGAATGATAAGAGATATTCGTATGTCAATTAATGTGAATACTTATAGGTTAAATATAAAAATATCCTAGCATAAACAACTAAGGACATAGAAATGGAATTATTTAAAACTAATATATCAATAGATAAAAATAATATATTTGTAATATTAGAGGGGTTTATGTGGATGTTGTAGTAAATTCAATGGTTGAGATCATGAGTCAATTGAAGCTAAACGTCCATGGAAAGCTAGGAATATCCCAATGAGTAGAAAAATTAAATTTTCTGACGTTTCGTGGCTTAGTATAAGCCACTTCTTCAGAGAATAAATAACCAGATTAAATTAATCCAAGTTTAAATAGTACAAAGGAACAAGGCAATAATATTAGGTACGATCAAACAAAAACACGTCCGGCCAAGTCATTGCCATGTCATTCCGGTCAAAGTGATTTATGTGAGGCATGTTTGTATTATTTGTGTGTATTTATGGTGACATTTGTGGTGAGGAAGGATAGAGTTTAATTTATATTTACGATAATAGTGTGTAATGTGAATAGAATCAAATATAGTGGCTTGGATAGATGACCCAAGTCGGATGGATAGTGGGACCTTCTTTCCTATTGAGTGCAATAGGATTAAGCAGTATAAGAAAAGCTTGAGCTACTCACCTTTCTTTGTAGTTAGAAAAGGTTTTCTGTATTGTTTTGATGTTTTCGATATCGATTTGATGGTTGTTGAAAATGGCACGAACTGATATTGACGATTTAATTTGGGGTCTCTCCAGTTCTACAGGGTCATTAGGTGGTTTCGTTGTGTACTTGAGACGTTCTTTGGCTCGAGTCAAGATTTCACGAGATGACTCTCTAATATACAAGGCATCACAACATACACATCGTAATTTGTAGACACAATTCTGTGTTGACATAAATCGGAGGATCTCATCACTACTCCGTTACTTTGTTTATGCAATGTCCCATCAAAAGTAAATAACGTTGAATTTAAGCTAAGTTTTAGGGATTTCACGATTAGATTAATTCTTAGAGGACATCTATCAGATAGAGTATTGTCGTTCTCTAGTAGTCAGTCAGTTAGTAACAACGTAGAACTTCGTACGTACATACATCAGTACGAGTCGCCATATCACATTAAGTTCTCTAGTAAACTACTAATAAATTCTAAGCATGTATCAATAGGGATGCTAGTGCATAATAATACAACATCATAGCTTACCATGATTTCATTCTTTTTGATAATTAATTCCGATATTTTTTATTTAAAGTCATAGGAATCTTTAATTGTGTTATGTACGTTATGTTGAGGTGGCTTTAATATGCTGCTCATATATATAGATAATGTATATTTTGGCGTGTAGCTTGTTGGGTAGAAACTATCGAAGTTTAGGTACAAGGCACTCCATATTCCCTTTCAATAAATATATCTTTCCGATCGACCTGTTATGCCAAGGTCAAGGAAACGAAACACATTGTCTTGTTCATATTCTATTGTAAATTTGTTCTGAAAAACATAATATGTGTTAAGTGCAATGCATTTCAGATAATCCGAACATATATTTACTTGTCAAAATGGCAAATGGAAATATACTGTTGTAAAAATAGAATATAGAGACTGAATTCACGAATATCTGGTCCTACGTTGTAGCTGACTGACTGAGTATAAAGATGACGCCTTAGTTTTTTAACACCCATATATCAATCCCGATTGTGGACAAGGTAATTGTTCGTGTTAATTGAACATTAATCATAAAACCTTTGTGTATGAGTTCCTCTTGAGATGGTGTCACATAATGTTTTGAAGTTTATATTCTATTGTTTTTGAAGTCTTTGACCGACATGCCATACTTCTCAAAAACCTTACTAACACTAATTCTATTGTCACTGAATGTACAAATTTGACAAGCGACTCTCAGTTGTCAAATTCAGTGCTGTTTTCTCCATACATTTTCTCCTCAAACACGGGCTTTTTAAAGCTCTTTTTCATATCAAGCTTGAGGACACCGTACTACTAAATGATCCTCATTTTTAATTGAAATTTGATGGGAAGATATACGAAGTTTACTGGTCGAAATCTTTTGAAGTTGCTTCACTTTGGATAGTCAGAACTACAAAGTAATTACTATATCAAAACGGAGACCCGAACGAAAGTACATATATGTGGATTTAGTTAGGGAAACTGTGCTGACTGATTGTTGATACTATTCTACAAAGTATTCCGGGTAGTTTTGTAGATACTTGAAAAGACTAATTTACGGAAAACGTGTTATAGTTCAAGCATGTGTTCTCTTCATGTGAAGTTCATACAAGATGAAAGAAAGTTGTTCACCTTATTTGAACAAAGCTCCAAATATCTTCATTCCGTCAGCTATTTTAAGTGCAGTAAAACATTGTCATTTACATACTCTGAAGTTCAGTACGTCTTTATATCAGGTTACTGAATATCTAATCGGTTTGTCACTTTCGACACCAACCGAACTCCCGTAAATGTCGTCAGCTATCCTCAGTTTCTCACCATGCGTTTGATAAATTATGTATTTATTCTTGAAACCTGATTTAAGTCATCATTTATGCAAACTACTTAGTCGACTAATTTTATGTGAATGTGACGAATCTATTAGATACTGAGTCATCATTTTCTTATATGTGATGCAGATTTAAAGCAACCTAGCATAATTTATCTCATTGACTTTTAATTATCGTCTATCGACAGACACATGTTATATATTATGTTCTTATGTGCGATTAGATGTAATTTTACGTCTTGCATTTAAGACTTGACAGTTAAAAACTTGTAATCCTTTAAATTTTAGGTTTAGCGTTCGGTTTTTCTTCGGCATGCACTCTCCAAGTGTACTTTACGATCTCGAAATCTGCGATTTTCGCCAGTTCATTGAACATTGGTGGTTTTTTAGGCGGGTTGCTGTCAGCGCATATGTTGTCAACTGCTGGAAGACGTTTTACTCTTTTGGTATCTTGTGTTCCTACTGTGTTAGGCTGGTTATGGATGTATCTATGTTCTGACGTAATATATCAAAATGCCTTCCCAACAAATTTATTTCTTTTTGGTCGTCTTTTAACTGGATTTGGGGCGGGATTATGTATTCCATCTTCTGCCACATATATGTTAGAAATATCTCCCACTAAAATTCGTGGTATAGTTGGTTCATTACCTCAAGTTGGAATAGTCACAGGGATTTGTATATCTTTTTTCATGGCTATGTTTACGCTCTGGGAACAAATCGCCCTAGTAAATTCCATTTTCTCCAGCGTCATACTAATTCTCGTATGGCTTCTCCCAGAATCTCCGAAATGGCTTCGAAAAGCTGGCCGTATTCACGAGGCTAACAGTATTAGCATACAGTTGTTTGGGATAGTAAGTCTTATGTAAATCGTATTACCTAGTAAATTTAAATTTTTATACCTACAAGTTGAATCAATATCAACTCACATTTATTCTGATCATCCAGATTACGCAATACAATGTTGTTTTGAACTATTATTTAATTTAGTGTACTTCTTTGGGTTTTGTTTATGATGACTTGATTTATTTTCGTACGTATTTTCATCCTAACATTACTAGAAGCTTATACAATCATTTCCTCCATTAATTTCTATTTACTCGTAAATTTTGATCTTGGGAAGCCTGTTCCAATTCATTTAAAAGCTAGCAGTTAATTAGCTGAAGTTGAAAGCTTCTTTTTCCAAAGTAGAATTTCATAAGTGAAAAAATCATAGCATATTACTTTGTGATGCAGTTTTTATATTTCGAGACAGGATATAGGAAGAATTCGTTTCCATAACTATTCCAGTTTTCTGCTAATTGCCTAATAAGACTGACCAAAGTGTCTGTGGAGAATTTGTATCCATTTTCAATCAAATTATTATATATACAAATAGTTATTCAAAGTTTATCAAATGCAATCTATTTAAATATTTTATCATATGATGAGATTTCAATAAAGACACTGGGATAACATTGCTTTTGTTGTAATTAAGTGTCAAAGCATTCTAAGTGATATTATTGATGAAGAGCAATCGGTATTAAAAAGAAAAGAAAATTTGTTAATGTGAACTGAGAATTTCGTGAATTGTATAAGATTCAACTTTGTTATGTTTTGTATTCTCGAAATTTTCTTAAAAGAAACATCTTCAAAGAAATTTCACATCAGGCTTTGAAAAAACATCTAAAAGAAACCAAATTTGCGGATTTACATGTCATAAACAACTTGTTGGTAGCAATTTGATAATCCTAGTGAATTAATTAATGTCAAACTGTCATTTACATATCTACTATGGTTGTGTGATGTGGCAGTAGATCACAATATTACAGTTATTATAACATTAAAGCCCAAATGTTTGTGAATACACTGTCAGCACAAATTGATATCTTATAGTTGACAAAGTATTTGGCTGTAGAGAAAAGTAATGTCAGCCGTTCACTAGGGAATTATAGAGGCATTGTATTTTCAAATATCCCATGAAGCTGATAGTTCTCATAAAATTTATCAATCTACTATTCAAGTTATTAATTTTATAACTTGAAACAGGTAGTGCTTGTTGACATTGATTTTGATCCAATTTATAGTCTGTAAAAAGCCTTCTGCTTTTTCTTAAATTTAAGTAGGAAATATATTTGATTGCATATAGAAATTTGATTTCACTTCCATTTTATAGCCTGTGCTGAAATGCTAACAATTTTATGAGTTTTATAGGAAAAGCCCAATAATGTGTATTGGGATTAAGTTACTTTTTAAATCTCTCGCAATGCTGCTCATGTGTTTTATTTTGTAAGGTTAGTGGACATTCTGCGGATACGATCGATTTAAACGAAAGTATAACCAATAGTGAAACAAAACAGCACTCATTATGGCATTATATCTTTCCATGTTCACTTGTTCCGTCAAGTCAACAACCTCAATTACGAATGGCTACAGCCCTCATGATATTTCAACAGTTAACTGGTGTAAATGCTATCCTCTTTTTTGCTGAATCAGTTTGTCTCATTGGAAATGCAAAATCACCTCCTGTTTGTGCCTTTTCTATAGGCTTTTTTCAAATGATATTCACTATTTTAGCAGCTTTTGTTATCAACCACGTGCGTCGAAAAATGTTACTTCAATTTAGTGCCTTTATCATGTTTATAGCTCTATTAGCCTATAGCATTACAATTTCTGTAAGTTAATTGTGAAATAATTTCTGTTTTCTTTTTATCCAATAACATCACTTTACTATTAACATAAATATGTTAAGGATATTCTCATGATATCTTTCATCCATCTTCACTATCAAATTGTTTTTCGCATGTTTTTAAACGAATGAACAAAGATATTCTATAGATACATTCTCTACTTTTCTAAGAATATTGTTTGTTAAAGGGATGCTCAAATATATTTAAATGGAACTATAAAATACATAGTGAAAAAGTTAACTTTCGCATTCGTTAAACGTAAAGCAGGTAAACAAGTAGTTTTCTATATCGCTAAAACTTTCGTAAATTTTTAAGGTCTTTTGTTGAGTGTTTATTTGAATTAAAACTAACCAGTAGTGGTCTTGAAAACCTTTACTACCAATTTTAGCGATGGATCTTTTTAAACAGAAACTCATTTACTTTGAATGCACAAATAACATTCCCTTACCATAGTCGAGAATGCTGACAAAATTTATAGTCTCATGATATTTTATGCAAAATTTAAGTAAAGAGAAGTCCTTGTATATCTGCCCCTTAAGCTATGGGTTGTGTCATGGATATCACCGGTGATTTCTTCAATTTCTGTAGATGGGATATGTACATGTTCAGATGGTCACGATGTGAGCCTAAAATCAAAATGTTTCCGGATGAACATAACATTAGACATTTAAGCTTGGACTTAGACTGCTTAGCGGATTTAATTGCTTGGTTTGAAGAATTCTAGATTAATCATGAAATATTTTGTGCTACGACTCTTTTAATGATGATCTTAACTATATAAGTGGAGAATTTAATTATCTTTTTGCGGGCAGTATAAATTACTTAAAGGTTTAAATTCATAAGTTCTATTTCTTTTCGTTTTATATGAAATTATCTAGTAATAGAGTACTTGGTAAATATGGTAAATCGATTGATGAGTTATTAAATCTTCATTAACTGAGGTGGTTGGGATATGTGTTACGTATGTACGACCACCGCCTACCTCAACGAACAATGTTTTCTAGCATAAGGGTAGGCTGGAAGAAAGCTAGGAGCGTGCAGACGGAAACATGTCACCTGTCCATGAAGCCACTGACAATTTAACTCAGCCATGTTAATAGGTGTAGACTACCTTGTTGGAGTCCATGTAATTATCGTAACCAATATTTATAGACTTTGAATGATATGGCTCATAAAACTGCCCAGGTGCATCCACTTTTTGTCTTTCCCCAAATTCTGAGATTTTATGTTCCTCATTACTTTCTTTGTTTTTGTTTCACGAATTCATTTTTTTTCGAATCATATCTTCGATGCCTAATCTATCTTGTTACTACTGATAATGTTACTACCTCTACTATCCTGGTATTTAGCCTGACAATTTCTTCTCGCAGTGCTAATTGGGTATGAAAAATTTATCGATGTACATACGTACCAGTTTCTACGTTGTGACTGAATAACTGATGACTATCTATCCTCCAAACATTGCATGTTCACTAACAATGCGCCGATAATGCCTACCAAATGCATTATGAAATGTATTAACAAGATATTAACCTTGAATCATCCACCTTGCAAATTATGATATTAATATTACCACAGTTACGCCATATGTATAAAAAGCAATGAGAACCTTCATTGTACAATCAGTAAATTTTTTGTATTGTGAAACTCAAAAAAGTTCTTGAAGTGCACGTAATCTTGCTTAACCCTCCTATTTCTAGATGGAAATTTGTTCTCAAGAATGCTTGTTCATAATGCCACGTCGTCAAGCGTGAAATATCCTTATTAACTGAAGGACAATTAGCAGGATTTTTGCAATCTTAGATGGTGGTTGGAGGTAATCGATAGGAAACCCTGGACCCGGGTTTCGTGCTACTTGGCACTCGTCAGAAAGGTGTACCTGTGATCTTGAGGGAACTGGTGCTTCCTGACGGATTCGATCTCGTGTCACCCAGCTTCACAGTCAGAGACGTGACCACTGAACTATCCGGGCCCCGACCAACCTCCTGTATGACTGAGATGTAATCACAATTTATTGATCACTGGGTGGTGACCAGTGTTATGTGCGTCAAGTCCTTATTAGTGCAGATCGAATGCTATCGATCATGATGCAATGTGGCTACCAGTCTAGGTGACTCGACACTGTGTGCACTATGTTGAGATTAGATGGTGGTTGGAGCTGGTCAACAGGAAATCCAAAGCAAATAGTTTTCTTACTAAAATTATTCTGTGATTTTCGCATTTGCTTTCGCAAGTTTGACAGTATAACATATAAACCCATTGAGTTCCTTAACTGCTATAGGACTAGGTTAATATTCCTTTAATAATATTTGTCTTTTAAATTGTAATAACAATTATTCTACCATTTCCACTGTCCTCTTCCAGACTTATTCATACAGTGATGAACTTGGTCAGTTTTGGATTATTTTATTTATGTTTGGTTATTCATTTGGCTGGGGACCATTACCAGTACTTATTAGTATGGAATTATTTCCAGTTAGTAGTCGTGGAAATGCTGTCAGTGCTGCTATTGCTATCAACTGGATCTTTGCTTTTATAATAACAGAACTATTTGAAATAACTGGTAATTCAATTAATCCTGCCATAGTATTTGTCATATTTTCTATATGTTGTTTAATATCTATGGTTTATGTGCATAAATATTTGCCAGAAACTAGCGATGAATCAAATGGATCAACATTAGATACTATTTCATCATTATCGTATAAATCACAGTTAAGTGCTTAATAAGAAAGTATTTTCTATAATTTATAATACAAACACTAATTATTACTGCTTTTGATAGTTGTTTCCTTGAAAACCATATTTTTTCACATTATTTTAATTTTTTTTCGTAAGAGTCAAGTCTCCCTTGACTTGTTTTTTTTTATCTCTTTCTCTCGTATAATTGATGTTCTCGTTTATATGTGTATATGCCTGATTCAGAAAGATTAATATCTCCTATTCCACTTACACACTACTCATGCTTCATTATGTGTTGCATAAGTACACTTTCCTTTTTTTGTTTGTAGATCATGACAAACTTATTTAAAAAAAATAATGTCGATATTTGTTTTATGTTTTTTTCCCACAACAAATGTTACGTAATATTTGTTTCGATAGTTTTGATTTTTCATTGAGTGATTAAAATATGATTTGTTGCTTTGGTTTTTGAAGTTGATTTTGTTACCTAAATACCAAGGTAAATGGTGAAAAGTTATTATTATTATTTGTGATTATCATTATTATTAATAATGGCTTTATTCAACATTATATTTTGGCACAATATAAAATTCTCAGCACAGGGTATTTCAACAAGTTACTTGTGCAAAAAAACAGTGACAAAGACAAGAAAGGGAGAAAAATGTTAAAAAAACCCGAAAAACTGTACAACTTTTCAAATTAGAGACATGTTGAGAATGCAGGTTATTGACTAGGTTAACTCTAACAACCTTTACGTCCCAGAGTATATTTGCTAGGTAAGGTATTATAGAGATATTTATTTATTCTTTTGTTTTTAAATAATAATTCATTTGTTTATCAGTAAATGTTTTTATTATTGATAATTGCTTCTTAGTATATTATTAATTTTTGTACATGAAATATGAATTGAGAGTTTGTTTTTTATTCAAGTGGTACCAATGGGATATTGGTTATTTGTTCTAAATTTATGTCATAAACAAATTGTTTTCAATGTGGTGTTATATTGTGTTACATTTTAAGATAATGAATGAATATTTGAGTAAGAAGTTGTCTTGTAGATGTATTTGTTGTTGATGAAATTGTTCGTCTTTTTTCTTCTTTGTGATCATCATTGTGTAACATTTAGAAAAATATCATAATTAGACTGACGAGATTTCTAGGTAAGGTCTATCAAATGTATCCGTGGTAGACTAAAAACATTTCAATATTTTCTATAGTGATTAGTACGAAGTTCTGGGAGATTGTTAGATTTTATGCAGATCACGTTTCTATCTAGGTAAAACAACCACTAGGATGCTGGAAACACTAGGCGACCACTTCGTCTCAGTAGGAGAGTTTTCAGTTGTGCGAATCTTCAACTTCTCAAAAAGGAATAGAAATAAGTACCACTAGTTTGATAGTCTAACTCCAATTGATCCACGATATTGCGCAAACACCTTCACTAATATATACTTCAAATTAATAAATTTTGTGGATGTGATTAACTGTAAATTCAAAAAATGAGACTATTAGTAACAGCAACATTAGTGATGTAGAATAAAAACAAAGAGAACAGGTTAGGAGTAATACAGTAGCCATTTCTTATAAACCGATAATACTTCGCATCACTACAATTGATTTTATCTTATATCGTTTGTAGTACATAGCGGACACCTGTGTCAAAAACTCTTATTTAAGAACTCAACTCAGTGGGTCAGACCAATTCCGAAGCTCTTCATAAGTGCGTATCTCATTCTCATTTGATTATACGTTTGCTTATTCTCATTAGAAGACATGATTTAAATGATGTGTACACCTTTTCAAGTTTCCTCAGCACATTATTGAAGTAAAAAGTATGAGATATTCACGAAAAAGAATATTAAAGGTAGGTTAAAAAAGTATTTAATGTTTCCGTTACACTCTAACGTCATTCATTCCAAGTCAATGATCATAGTTGTCACATAGAACCTGTTTTATTGTTATCACTTAGTAGAACAGATCAGATCGGTAACCACATGGATTGATGCAGGCTACAGATTTGGATACTTATAGCCTTCTTTTATTCTATTCCCATCACAGTCAGTCTAGGATTTCAACATTGTTGGTGGTTAGATGAAAAATCATTCAGTTGTTTCAAACATCAACCGATCAATATCTGCGATATTCATGTCAAAGAAAGTTATTCAAGAGTATTGTATTCTTAGTTAATTAGATAATTAGTTTAACGATCGATTTTGTCATTATAATCTACGCTTTCAGTCCCTTGTTTTAAACTAATAAATGTGTGATACACACACACACATTTCAAACGTAAGAGAGAAAAGAAACAAACATGAAAAGTTTATTCTGTTACGTAAGAGAAAAAGGATAATAACTGACACGTATCAGTATGACAAATTTCAATGGTATTGGGTTTTCCGGATCATTGTTTGATTAAGTCCATCTTATCTGATCATAATCAACAGTTTATTGAATGAAGAAAGAATATCGAAGTAAATGATTTTATTATGTCAAAAGAAAGAAATATATATATGTAACCTAAGTAAGCATCAAGTGTGTTAAAGCATACCAATCATATATCTCTTGTATTGTATAGTTTTTAGGTCTAATATTGTTGAAATGGAAATTCTGGAAAATAGTAATGGATTCATGTATGAAATGGTGGTTTAGTGTTTAATGCGTTCAACCTTCAGTTGAAAGTTTGGATCTCATACACTCATACACTTTGAGTGTTACTCAAAATCAAGTACACAAGTTTGTACTTGGTTAATGAGGTTAAGAAATAGTTAATCAATTTATCTGAGAATGAACTTTGAAATCTTAGGTAATTTTTGACAACTGGTCATTAAACTTATTCATTCATATTTTGAAGTGTAAAATTTCTTCATGTTAAAGTAGCCACTTTTAATTTTCAGTAGACTTTATATGTGTTGGATGATTGTGATAACTAGTTATAGAAAATGTTCTATTTTAACTTGTTAATCACTTAACTCAAAATTGTGTTTATGTAGTACAACTTAATCGATAAGATTCATTTAACAATAAATGACTAGATAAGAATGATATCGGTCACCACTCAGTAGTTAATCAATTATAAATATCTTAGTCCATCTGGAGGTCATTCGCTCTCCGAATAACTCATTGATGACATTTCAAACTCTAAAGCTGGATGATACAACTTTGTAATCGTACATGCAGTATTGATTCCCTCAAGATTACAGGTACATCTTAATGATAAATGCTAACTAGAATAAAACCTAGGGTCAAGATATTCTGTTTTCTACCTACAACCTCTGGACATGTAATGAAATATTTGTAAATTTTGGTATGTGTTATTTTAGTTATTTATTCAAACACTTAAACATTGATACAAGGAAGCACCAAGAAGGTATGCGCCACATAAATCATTCGATTTGTGTGAGGACTGGAATACTGCCCGGGTGACCAAACCGAAGCAGATGGATTTATTAGCAAGCCTCACCCTGAGCCTTTGACTCAAAGGTTTAATCCATAAAGCAGTGGAGCATAGTAAGGAGATGCAGTCCCATGACAGCCGGTGACCAACAGTTGGACAATACGCCATTCGTTTCTTCAGGATACTGGAGTCCATGTGCATCATTGGTTTGGAATAAGGGTTTTCCAACTACCCTAGGTGAACTCTCCGTGTCCACCGATCCGGTTAAAGAGCCGGACATTCACTTTTCTTCCTCTCAATTTTGTAAACAACTTTCCCGCCATGAGAAGGCAGTGAATAGGATTTCCCTGTCAGTGGTTGTATGCACGTTGCCATGTAAGAGCATTTCGAGAGGGAGAGTTGACCCTTTCCACTCTCGGCCGTACCAGGTCGTTTGAGGACTGTGTGATAATGGCTTTTACTATCGAACTAAGCTTTATCAAGTTGATTGTAAGTTCAAAATAACTTTTTAAAAAAAACTATTTCAATCACTTTTAATCTTAATCAATCAATGAATTACTCTCTTTCTCTCTCCCTCATTTCTCCTGTGTTTTAGTGAATGAATATAAATTTTTATCTTATTTTGGCTGGATGACTTTAAGTGAACACGTTAATTTCCGCCTTACTGGTAAAAAACGTTTTTTTAATGAAAACTGTATCGTTGAAAATAATAGTATATAAAGATTAGTTAAGAATATTCATAGCATAGTCAATGAAGTTTAGTTGGAAATGCCATAAGTAAAAAGATCCATCTTCAGAAAACAAACATGGAATGGCCAGCTAACCAACTTCTATAGCTGGGTTCCGTTAAGTAGGAAGAGAAACCTTATCCATTCTTTATGCTATCGCATACATCACATATGCAGTGCGGAATGCATTAACGAAGAACTCGCATTCCTCAAGAAGACTTTGACGGAAAATGGTTACCCAGAACGGTTCATAGAAAAGAATATGAATAAAAGTAGTCGCGAGAAGAATTCTAGTTGTTCCGTTCCAAAGAAAAACCTTTATATAAGTCTGGAATTTAAAGGTGATCGAACATCAGACGTAATCAAAAATCGTCAAACAACAACTATTAGAAGAAGATTTAACGCGGCAAAACTGCGAATATCCTTCACTAGTAGAAACTTATTTTCTGTATCCATAAAAGATAAGCTTCCGCGTCTAGTCGCCTCCATGTGCATCTACCAGTTCACCTGCTCTTGTGGAGCAAGGTACATTGGCCGTAGCCAGCGCTCGCTTTCAACTCGGATACGAGAACATATCCCAGCCTGGTTCTATAAGGGTGAAAGGAAAGCAGTTAGGAGTTCTATACTTGAACACCTAATCGACTATAACCATTCAACAGATCCACAAATTGACTTTAAAGTTGTTTATATGATTCGTTCAAATCTACCCAGATTTCTTCGTATCCAACTTTTAAAAATAGCCGAAGCTCTTGCCATCCAGGAGCTTAAACCAGAACTATGCGTACAAAAGAAGTACGTCTTATCGTTATCGTTACCTTGGCCTTAATTAGTTTGATTATCTATTATTATTATTATTATTACTGCATTCCCCCTTTACTTATGTCTTATATTCTCATTGTTTTATTCATGAACGCTCATCATATATATATATATATATATATATATATATATATATATATATATATATGCTGTAAATGAAATCATGAAAAATGGAGTAGTGAATGAAGTTACAAGTGATAATACAGAGACAATGAATTTAAAAAAGAAAGAAATCAAATCAATGATAATCAAGGCATCTGTTTAACATAACATTAAAGTTAACGTTTTGAATGAATGTCAGTGGGATTAATAAACTATAATGAAGAAATAGTGTATCTAATAAACGTTAAAATAATACATATTACCAATAAGAATAAAACGTTTACCATGATTTCCTTCTATGTGTTAACGTGTGGTCGAAATTGTTTGGTGTCAATGACTTCTAAAAAGTGGTGTACATTTCCTGTAAAATTATATAAGACGCGTCTAAGACACTCACGTTGTCCTCACTATGTATTAAATGTTTAGTGATCACCCTTCTGAATACTTTACTTTCATTCACACTCAACTTACGGTGAATATGTTCGTAAAACCTTTTGGATGCCATTCTTTCATTTCTTCACATGCTTTCACAAGTAAATGTAAATTCGTAAATACATTTAAAGGTGACTTTTGAAGGGTACTGATCAACTCTCAATTTATTTAAAGAATATCTGATGTTATACACCAGAAATAGTTGGGAAGCTTCTCTTTAGCACTACTTTCATCCTTTAGTCGATCCTACCTTAAATCTCCTCACCTTTCGATCCACGAAGAATGTCAACGAATTTTCGGTTAACGGCTGTGTGTTTGGAATATTCCGTAATCACTTTTCCGTACCTCGTGATGCATTTCTTTGGATATCCGACTTTTATAAGGTATGCCATTGAATCCTGTATTTCGTCGCCTGAACACAACTTTCTATTCTTTTAAATACAGTTTTGACTAAATAACGTTTATAAATAATAAGACATGAACTATATTTTGATGGAGTTTTGTTCTCTGAGCTGGATGGTTCGTTCGTTTAGAACGATGAAAGCTCTGCGACCAAACCATCCAGTTCAAAGAACACAACTCCATCAAGTGTTAGATTTTGTTAATTTTTTTATTTTGAATTTATATGTTCAATTATCTAATTTTCTTTGAAACCCATTTTAGTAACCACTTATTATTAATCTCTCGGATAATAGAAAACACATTTTGGATTCTTAGTCTTACTCTTATATATCTCAATTGTACTAATTAACTAGTCAAATTTCAACTTTGTTATTCTTTTAATTGTACAAAAGTTTTTTTAACTAACTGTTTATTACATTGTTAACCTGACTTAACACAATTTCATTAGTAGTTATTGATTTTATACTTAATTTCATTATAATTGTGAACCGATTTGAGTTAAACTATCACTGATAACCTGAAAGCACTGGACGGCTATTTTGGCCTAGTATATAACTCTTCGGCAACGCCCATCCATCACTAGTGACTGGTTTTGAGAGGAAATTTCCGAAGTTCTAGTGAGGAACCATGTCAAATGGAGCTAAGCCGTATCAGGTCTAAGGCTGTTACCTACCGACAATAACGCAACGTGGTCGAGTAATTTCGTGGACTGATTTGAATTGGATATTAATACTGTTGGATGTCGGCTCAATGGTATTGAGTTTAAGCATTCTCGTGTGAACAATAAAGAAATTTTTTCAGATTCATAAAGTGTAAAAGGAATAATTAGTCTTTTGGAGGAGTTATGTAGATATTAGTCCCATAAAACTATAATCGTCTACTCACAAATGGCTAACTTCAAGATGTGTCCCTGAGGTTTCGTTTGGAAGTCGTGAGCGGAGGGTTTCGATATTGTCAAAAAAGATAGGTGTTAAAAATCGAACTGAATGATCATTATCCTATGTCCTAAATTGATTGGAGTGGGAAATGAACACCAACGCAGTGGTTAAATGCTCACCCTTGATACCTGAAGGTCTAGAGGTCTAATCCATGCCGGGGTAGTGACTGTTCACTGCTAAGGAATAATATACGACAACAAGAAGGGTGTCCAGTATTCTCTGATATTCGTCGGTACCAAAACTGAGGTCACTCCTAGATAGATATCACCTGTACGTGATAATTATAATAGTTGAGTAAGACACTTTGTATGCGGTTTCCATGAAAGACTTGT